TGAGGCTAACACCAAGAACGTTAGAAGATATCGAATAGGCTAACACCAATAATTTATCTAACATTATTAGGGTTTGTTCCAGTTTCAAATGGGTTTTTAAGATTTTATGAATGGATCATGACCCTTGAATATTGTTCTATAGCATAATACAAAATGAATTTGTTAGGGTTACTTTGTACTAGGTAATTTGGGGTAAACATTTTGTTCTTCATATCTTACATAAATATTTCATCAATCATCAGTTATAAAGTTGTAGTTTTGCTAATACTTTATAATTATTTAGGTTGGTAAGTAATGGTCGATGGATAAAGCATGGATTTCGTCTGATAGGTTATCTGATGCATATGAAGTGGGTGTAAACATCTTTCTAGACTTTGCACAAAGTAATGATCCAAATTCAGATCTTATTCGATGTCCTTGTATACATTGTATTAATTTGTGGCACCACTCAATTCAGACCGTGCGCTATCATCTGTTTGCCTATGGCTTCGATGAAAGTTATAAGGTTTGGTCTTTCCATGGAGAAAGACAGCCCAAGCTTGATTCTAGATGCCCTAACAAATCTATTCCTCCCGACTTTGATTATAAGAGATATGCTACATGATGCCTTCAGAGATGTAGAAAAAGAACTCGATTCATTGAAGTCACTTCTTGAAGAATGTGAGAAGCCACTTTACGTAGGGTCAAAGTATAATGCACTTAGTGGATTATTGAAATTCCAACATATCAAGGGTCAATTTGGGTGGTCTGAGGCTAGTTTTGAAGTATTGTTAGGTGCCCTAAAAGATGTCTTACCATTAAACAATAGAATACCTAACTCCCTATATGATGCCAAGAAATTACTAAAAGGAGTAGGTCTACAATATGAAAAAATTCATGAATGTGAAAACGATTGTGTTCTATTCTGGAAAGAACATAAGGATGCTTCTCAATGTCCAACTTGTGGCACATCTCGTTGGAAGAAGAATACCAAAAACGTACCTTCAAAAGTTTTATGGTATTTTTCTCCCATCCCCAGATTTAGGAGAATGTTTTCGTCACCAGAAATGGCACAAAACTTAACTTGGCATGCACAAGGTCGGGCTAAAAACGGTATGCTAAGTCATCCTCGTGATTCCCCCTCTTGGAAGCTTGTTGATAGAACGTGGAAAGAATTCGGAGAAGAAAAATGGAATTTAAGTTAGCCTTGTCCGCTGATGGTATCAATCCTCACAAGTCATTAAGTTCCAAGCATAGCTGTTGGCCGGTTATCTTAATAACTTATAATCTACCCTCTTATTTGTGCATGACAAGAAAATTCATGATGTTGACTCTATTGATATCAGGTCCAAAACAACCTGGTAACAATATTGATGTCTACTTGGCACCATTGATAGCAGATCTAAAACTCTTGTGGGAAACTGGCGTGAAGACATATGATGCTTATAAGAAAGAATACTTCAATCTAAGAGCAATATTACTTTGGACTATAAATGACTTTCCTGCATATGGTAATCTTTTGGGGTGTGTTACCAAAGGTTATTATGCGTGTCCAATATGTTCAGAGAATACTTGTTCACAGTGGTTGCCAAATTCGAAAAAAGTATGCTTTCTTGGTCATAGAAGATTCCTGCCACTTCAACATCCTCTTCGTAAAAGAAAAAAAGATTTCAACAATCAACAAGAGGATGGTGTTATAAAACAACCATTATCAGGTGAAGAGATTTAAGACTATCTGACGGGGTTTGAGACTTCATGGGGTAAGAAGACAACGTCTAAGAAGGAAAAAGAAAGCATCGATGAGAGAGCTAAATTTTGGCACAATAAATCGATTTTTTGAACTTGAATATTGGAAGAAGTTGCTTGTTCGTCATCAGTTAGATGTTATGCACATAGAGAAAAATGTATGTGAGAGTGTTTATGGACATTGTTGAATTTGCCTGGCAAGAAGAAGGATGGGTTAAGAGCACGAAAAGATCTTGAGGCGATGGGCATTAAGCCTAAATTACAAACTCAACCAAGAGGGAATCGTACTTGGCTTCCGCCTACGTGCTACACATTGAATACCACGGAAAAACACCGGTTTTACGAGACCCTATCTACCATAAAAGTGCCTGATGGGTACTGTTCAAATTTCAAGAATCTCGTGTCTGATTATGTATCAACGATGAATTGTTTGAAGTCTAATGATTGTCATGTACTGATGCAACAACTTCTCCCTTTTGCAATAAAGGGGGTGTTACATGTGAAAGTGAGGAAAACAATCATAGGTTTGTGTCATTTTTTCAACGTGTTGTGTAGTAAATTCGTTGATGTTAATAAGCTAGGCAAGTTGCAAAGTGACATCGTATTAACTTTGTGTTTGTTAGAGAAGTATTTTCCTCCTTCGTTTTTCGATGTCATGATCCACTTGATGGTGCATTTAGTTAGAGAGGTGAGGTTATGTGGCCCGGTTCATTTTAGGTGGATGTATCCATTTGAGAGATACATGAAAACACTCAAAGGCTATGTACGGAATCATCATCGACCCGAAGGTTGTATTGCAGAATGTTATGTGGCAGAGGAAGCCTTGGAATTTTGCTCAGACTACTTAAAAAATATGAAATCAATTGGCAATCCTCATGAACGTGTTGATGAAAGAATTCGCACCGGCAAACCTTTATCACGGGGTACAGTCGAGGTTGTAGATGCTAAGCTACTTGATGAAGCTCATCTTTATGTATTACGAAATACTGCTGATGTGGAGCCGTATATAGAGTAAGAACCACTGTGTCTTCTTTGTACTCTATGTAATGCATTAAACTTTTTTCTAACTTCTAATATGATTCTATCTTCAAATATTATTTAGGCAACATATGTTGGAATTGAAGAATCATAACCCCCGTGCCTCTCGAAATAGTAAATGGTTGCAGACTCAGCACAGTCGAACATTTATTAGTTGGCTTAAGACCAAGGTTGATACACATTTCGCTAACGGGGAAGACATTTGTGAGAGTGTTCGTTGGTTGGCCAATAGGCCAAGTTTTGCTGTGAAGAAAATATAGCGGTTTTGCCATAAATAAGTATCAGTTCCATACAACATCTCGAGATGAATCAAGAACAACTCAATGTAGTGGAGTATCTCTAGTTGCACATGCTATTCAGATTGCTAGTACAAAAGACTCCAATCCCGTGTATGGAGCTGTTACTTACTATGGTCATATACAAGAGATATGGGATCTTGATTATCGCATATTCATTGTTCCTGTTTTCATGTGTGATTGGGTTGATAGTCGTGGAATAAAAAAAGATGACTTTGGATTCACAGTGGTTAACTTTGCTAGGCTTGATCACCAATCTGAACGCTTCATATTAGCTAGTCAAGCCAAACAAGTTTTTTATGTTCAAGATCAACAAGATGCAAATTTGTCTATTGTCGGCTTCACACCACATAAGATGTACAAGTATGGAGCAAATAGTGAAATTGATGATATGTTGGAATACCATGTTACTTTTGATTTTTCACGAGACTCCCCTTTAGTAGAACTTGATGATGATTTTTTGTGTACACGCTCGGATGGCGAGGGCATATTAGTTTAAAATATTTTTTGCAAAATAAAATCTTTACTTTTTGGTATGTTTTTATTTCAACATCTGTATGTTATTAATTCTGTCCCAACTGCAAGAAATAGCAATTTACTAACTTTTTGTATTTCAATCATGTTGAAACAGGTTGTACTTGGTACCATGGAATCGGATCAGTCTTCGAGTCATGATGAAGACTCTAAACAAAGAGGTCCGACAATAAAGGGAAAAACTACTAAAGGAAAAGTTATTGTTACTTACAATAAAAAGGGTGTTCCGATTGGCGTTGTAGCAACGAAACTTGCTTCCTTTGAGGGCATGGTAGCAAGATCAATGGTGCCTATCACTTATGCCACTTGGCGAGATGTTGAACAGGAAAAAAAAGAAGACTTATGGCAATACATTTTGGTAAGTCTAACATCTGATCTTAACTTCCAATTAATCTTTTTTTTGTTAAAAATAATATTTTTTAATTAATGCTTTATGTTTCATATGAATTTTGAACTTGATCCAAAGAGTCGAAAGAACACCCTTCAATCCATTAGGACAAAGTGGAAGAACTTTAAGCATTATCTGTATAAGAAATTCATTGAGAAGTTTAAGAATGACCCTAATACAAATATGCTCAACCCTCCAGAGATGTATCCTTATTTGAAGAAAGATGAGTGGAAGGTTTTTGTATTGTAAAGACTTTCAAAGAAGTGGGAGGTTAGAAACCAGTCTGTATTTGTCGGTATTTGTTATATATATTATTTTTAGAAACCAGTCTTGATTGTTTTAATGTTTCTAATGTAGGAAATAAGTGAGAAAGCTAAAAAAATGCGTGGACAACATAGATACAATTATCGGTTGAGTAGAAAAGGATATGCTGGACTAACTCTTGAGATTGTATGTAGTAAATTAATTGAATAGTTTAGATATGCATTTGTTTATGTTAATTCATTGTTGTTATTATTTTTAATTTAGATGCAAGAAACGGGAAAAGAGGAAGACGAGATTGATAGAGCATTGTTGTGGAAAAAGGCAAGACAAATGAAAAAAGGAGTTTATGACCCGAATGTCCAGATTGTTGTTGATAAAATGGTAAGTTCTTGTGAACATTCCTACTTTATTTATTTTCATCTTATTGTTATAGCACCATATGAGCTTTAATCCTTTGAATATTTTGAATATGAATATTTGCTTTCACTACAGGAAGAGATGCAGAAGTCAGAAACCTTAGGAGAGGTCATTTGTGGAACAAATGACATGCTTACCCAATCCCTAGGTACCCAGGAACAACGTGGGCGTGTACGAGGGATGGGCAAATTTGTAAGGCCACACCAATACTTTGTCTTACCCAATACCGTGAAGAAATACTTAGATGGTGAGAAGAAAAAGTTTGAAAAAAGGTTCAACCAAATTGAAGGTGCAATAGAGAAACTACAAAAAGGGATGAATCATGCTTCTGAAGGCGCAAGTTGCCAAGGGTGGGGCAAAGCAGATTTTGAAGACAACCCACCCGAGGAATTACTTGTAAGTCTTATTAAATTATAGTATGAATTAAATGTAAGTCTTGACTACAACTAATAAATATATAATTTGTAGGATACTTCCTGTTATCTTGCGATTGATATTGCCTCCAATATAGTTGCCAAAGGAACAATAGTGAAGCACAATGATCTATCAGGTATTACAAAAAATATCAGTTTTCTTTTTGACTTTTTAGAATATTGTATCTTAGTAATAACTTTATATAACAGGTGAAAACATTGAAGTAATGATGGAAATGAGTGTGCAAGGAGACGCGTTACTACCGTTTCCACTAGATGAGGAGTTCATTTACAAGGTTAAAAATGCAGTGGGATTCATAGTGAAATGGCCTAGACATCTAGTCATTCGATGCTCTGATTTGGTAATATTTTCATTTATTTAAAGAAATTATATATGTCTAATTTAAATGATATCTTTATATTTTTTTTGTAGGAAAAAGTGTTGGCGTTTATGGGGAAAAAACGTGTGAACGGAGATGAAGTAGAAAGTAATAAAGGAAAAAAAATGACAAAGAGAACTTGTTGAAAAAGAAGAGGAGAAAGGAGAAGGGACACCGAAGATGGAAAAAGAGAAAGAAAAAGAAGAGGGTAAAGGAGAAGGGACACTGCAAAGGAAAAAGGAAGAGGAGAAAGAAGAAGGGACACCGAAGAGGGAAAGAAAGAAAGAAAAGGAGGAGGAGGGAACACCGCAAAGGAGGAGGACGAGAGCACAAATGATGACAAGGCTAAGAGTTGAAAGCAACCGTGTTTTGAAAGTGTTTGCACGTATGGTTGATATACAACTTAAAAATGCGGAGTTCGTGAAAGTACAATGTGAGGACGATATGTTTGGGTACGAGAGTTTCACGTATATAACTTGGGAAGATTTTGAAGTGATTTTTACTGTGGATGAGATGACCGGTTCTGCGATTACTTGTTATATGATGTAAGTGCATAATTTTAATTTTATTAAAACACAATATATTTAATCATCATACTTGTCTAATGTTAATATATAGGTACTTGTTTGAGGAAATCAAGAATGGGCCAAAAAGAGATCATGGAATTTGTTTTATGACCCCGTCTGCAATCTCGCCATCAGGACGTAAGGTAAAATTCAAAAATAGCGATGAGGCAATTCGAAGCGTTGCAGATCGATTGTCTCTAAGAAAGGACAATGGCATCGTCCTAGTGCCATATAATCACGGGTTTGTTTTTTCATTTGATTATCAATATATTTTAGTAACTTAATTTGGTTTTTCATTTTTATAGAAGACATTAGGTGTTGGCGGTGATAGATATGAAAGCAACAAGTTGTTATTATCTTGATTCCTTAGGGCCTACCAATATCCATCAGCAGTTGAAGCAAGTTATTGATGCGTAAGTAACATAAATTATCGAAACATTATAGTATATTCTTTGATATATTTCATCAATTTGTATAGGGAAATAAAATTGTACAATGCTCAAAGTGGATCTAACAAAAGGGTTAGCCTCAATTGGATCAATGTTTTGCTGAGGACTTCGAACGATCATTCCTTGTTTAAATTGCAGCTTTCATTTTGACTAATCGTTTATTGTAAACTGTTTGTAGTGTCCCCGTCAGTCGGGAGGTACCGAGTGTGGATATTATGTTTGTACGTTCATGAAAGAGATAGTCGAGAACGGACTTCAAGTGTTGGTCAATAAGAATGTAAGCAAACTTTTCTGATACACATATGTCATACCATACATACACATTAGTCACAACTATCATATGGACTTGAAGTAGGATGATATTATTGGAAATTCATCTACGATAACATCTTGTCTATTCATATTAATAAGAATTGTCATGCTCTTTTTATTTCTGCTGAAAAACTCATAGTTAGATGCTATTATAGACTTCTAGTTATCACCTTGTAGTTTGAAATGTTCTTTTATTTTGATGATTCACATTTCTGTATGTTATGGAGGTTATCGTTTATAATTTGAAACAAACTTAAAAATATTGTGAATTTAACTTAGTGAAAGATTACATTGATGGTAAACTTCTTATTATTTGCTTATATATATTGATAGATTCTGTTGTAATTAATGAGTGAATTCTTGAATCTAATTACACGTTTTAAGCATGTGGCAATCGATACTATTTGTCGATATATGCATCAATGTCTAAAGGAACAATTTGAAATGTTCGGTGGAGTTGTGAAAGCATTTGACACGTAGTAGCACTTAAAATCCAAAATTTGATTTTGTCAAGTACTATAGACGTAACAGGGACTCTCTTTTGGTTATTATTTGTGATGATATTGTTGTGAACAAAGTTGGAATTTTTTATAATGCTATTGATTTTATGACTTTGCATAATGTTATTATGCTTCAAAGAATGCATATGTAAAATTGGTCATATTAGTACTCTTTAATAGTTCATTATATACTTCACTTTAAATAAGTATAAATTATATACTTATTTCATATTTTTTACTTAGGTTGGCGATGGGAAAGAAGAATACACGGATGATGACATTGATGATATTCGCAAAGAATGGGTATCTTATGTGTCAAACTTTATTATGCCTTGATATTTTGTATCGACATATGATTAATACAATATTTTTGATAACTTAATGTAAATATATTGTATGCAAATGGATTGCTTATATATAATATGGTACATAGATTTAGTATTATGAGGCATTCAATGTGATTTAGTTTGATTATTTGTCAATCTACAATATATATATATATATATATATATAATTTCTGAAATACAATCACGACACACGAACGTTTTTCGTCTTTTTAAATGGCGTGTGCTTCAATGACACGCAATGTAAGTCATATATGCGTGTCATAAATTTATGACACACAAATGTATGTCAAACAGATTTATGACGGGGGCTTCAATGACGCACAATGTAAGTCATACATGCGTGTCATAAATTTATGACGCACAAATGTGTGTCATCTTAATTTATGACGGGGGCTTTAATGACGCGCAATGTAAGTCATACATGTGTGTCATAAATTTATGACATACAAATGTGTGTCATATTAATTTATGACGGAGGCTTCAATGACGCGCAATGTAAGTCATACATGCGCGTTATAGATTTATGACACACAATTGCGCGTCATAAAAAATTCATATCGGTGGCTTCAACGACAGGCATTTGTGTGTCATCCGCACCCATAGATGACGCGCAATGCGCGTCATTAAAGGGCATTTTTCTTGTAGTGAGTGTTTTTTGAAAGTTTCTCCGTGGAAGAAAGTACTTCGTTTTGGTCGAAAAGGAAAACTCAATCCTAGTTTCATTGGACCCTATGAGATATTAAAAAGACTTGGACCCGTAGCATTTCAGTTAGCATTGTCATCAGGAATGGAAAAGATCCACGATGTCTTTCATGTGTCAATGCTCAGAAAATATCGATCAGATCTTTCGCACATTATAGCACCGGAAGAAATAGAAGTTCAATCTGACATGACCTATGAGGAAAAACCAGTGCAAATTTTAGCATACGAAGTCAAACAACTAAGGAACAAAGCGATTCCATTGGTTAAAGTCCTATGGAGAAATCACAAGGTAGAATAGGTGACATGGGAACGTGAAGAGGACATGAGAAGAAAATTTCCTCATATCTTTGTACAGTGAAATTCGAGGACAAATTTTCTTAAGGGGGATAATTGTAATACCCCAAACATCGAGTTAGTGACTAAAATATAATAATTTAATATTTTGTGGTTTAATCTAAATAAATTAAAAAGTTCAAAGACTAACTTTGGGAATTATATATAGGATTCATTAGCAAAAATTGAAGAATGGAAGGGCAAAGAGGTCTTTTTTACATAAAATGAATTTAAAATTTATTTTAAAAGATATTTTAAGCATATGAAGGTTAGAAAGGGGAAGTACCTGGAAGCTTGGCTCACTTCTCTTATTCTTCTTTTATTCCCGTGACTCCATTAATAAGGTGAGTTATGGTTCAAGTTGGTTATTCTTTTCATTTTTGAGTTGGTTTTGAGGCATTGAGTGATATAGAAGCTTAAGGATGAATAAAACCAACAGATTTGTGAATTATTAATGGATTAGTAAAATGGGTTTTATGTGTATATGAAATTTGGTTAGTAAATAGATTTTAAAGGTAAATTTGACTTGTCAAGGGTTAAACTAAGGCATTTAAAGTCTTAAAAATGATTGAGAATATGTTTGAAGATTTTGGTATGATTCTTAGTTTAAGTGTTCTTTAAAGAAATTTGGATGTTATAAGAGGATTAAGGAATATAAGTTAATTGGGATAAATGATAATGAGTTTGATGACATGATTGGAGGTAAGAGTAAGAGAATTAGGTGAATTCTGGGTAAAATTTGAAGTGAAATAGGTAAAATCTGGGTAAGGGTATCGGTACTGGAAGAATAATATTGATACTATAAAGTTAAATTAAAGGATAAAATATGAATCAGATGAACAATATCAATATTGATTGAAGAAGTATCGATAATAATGTGGAGGTATCAATACCAATAAGAAATTATCGATACAGTATTTGAAAATGGAATTCTAGAATGCCGAAATGATATCGATACCGAAGTGGGTATCGGTACTATAGAAGTGAAGTATCGGTACTATAGGAGGAGTGCCAATACTATTCAACCTGAAATGTTGAATTAGGTGTTTCATTTTATTTTTGTAAGTGCAAATTGGTTATTCTTTGATAGAAAGTTGGTATTGATCTTAGACATATTAATGTGTAGATTTGGAACGAAAGCGTACTGATCGAAGCATTATAGCAAGAGACTAAACGAAAGTTAAAAAAGGATTTCATTTAAGACTTACGTGAGGCAAGTGCAACTCATGTGTTTTATATTAGATTTGAGGACGGCTTGCGATAAGCCAACCTCAAAGTTTTCGATTAAAAACTATTTATTTATTTTATTAAATACTTTATTATGTTTTATATGAAGTGTAATTTTAAATTATTGTTTTGATGTTATATGTATATGATTATGTTTTATATGAAAATGTTCGACGTCAAAGTGCCTATGTGAATGAACTCTATGTGAATATGACACACTTTGAATAATTAAATGAGAAATAATTAGGTGGTTAAAGCCCAAGGTATATGTATGAGAATTAGAGGTATAGTTGGCATGCCAAGAGCCGAGGGTTTTATGTGGTCCTTCGGGACAAATCTATGTGGTCCTTCGGGACAAATCTATATGGTCCTTCGGGACAAACCTATGTGGTCATTCGGGACAAACCTATGTTGTCCTTCGGGACAAATATGTGGCACTTCGGTACAAATTATGTGAGCAGTGGT